CCACTATAGCACACAAGGACCTGTCACGGCACTGCCTCCCAGCTGCCTCTCTGTCTTTGCTCGATCCCACTCTAGCCTCACTGGCCTTCTGGTTACACGGAAAGCTCACCAGACCTGGTCTCAACGCAGGTCCTTTGCACTCGCTCCCTGCACCTAGCAAGCTCTTCCCTGAGAGTCCATGTGGCTCCCCCTCCTTCAGGCCTCGGCTCACTGCACCTCCTCTGAGAAGCTTTCCTCTGATCAGCTCTCTAAAACAGCGCCCTCTCCCCTCCCTTAAAATCACCTTATTTTATTTTGTTTCTTGCCACCACTTGACATGTCCCACATTTATGCATTGGTTGTTGTCTGCGACCATGCCCCAAGGCGGGGGTTTATATTTGTTTTGTTTGTGGTGGTGTCCCCGGTGCCCAGCATAGTGCCTGGCACAAAACAGGCCCCGAAGAAGTGTTTGCTGAATGAATAACCGCTCTATACAATCCATGTATATGCAGTTGACCCCGGAGCATTGGGTTTGAACTGTGCAGATCCACTTACATGTGGATATTTTAAAGTAAATATGTACAATACTGTAAATGTATTTTCTCTTCTTATGATTTTCTTTTTTTAAATATTTTAAAATTGATTTTTAGAGAGAAAGAAAAGGGAGAGAGAGAAACATCAATCTGCTGCCTCCTGCACACCCCACCATACCGGGGATCGAGCCTGCAACCTTTTAGTGCACGGGATGATGCCCAACCCACTGAGCCACACAGGCCCAGGCTCTTTAAGATTTTCTTAATAACGTTTCTTTTATCTAGCTTACTTTATCGTAAGAATACACTATATAATACAAAATATGTGTTAATCAACTGCTTGTGATCGGTAAGGCTTCCGGTCAATAATAGGCTATTAGTAGTTAAGTTCTGGGGGAGTCAGAAGTTACAGATTTTCCACTGAGTGGGGTGTCAGTACCCCTAACACCCATGTTGTTCAAGGGTCAAATGTATACTTAAGACTGAAAATGAAAATGTAGCTTAGCGTTTTCCAGGTGTATATATTTAAAAAATTAATTTGAGCACTGGCCAGTGTGGCTCAGTTGGTTGGAGCATTTTCTCATACACCAAAGGGTGGTGGGTTTGATTCCCAGTTGATCCCTGGTCCGGGTGAGTGTGGGAGACAATGGACCCGATGTTTCTCAGCTCACTCTCTCTCTCTCTCTCCCTCACTCCCTCTCTCTCCCTTCCTCTCTCTGGAATCAATTAAAAATATTTAAAAAATTAATTTGTGAATTTTATACATAAAAGAATTTAATACATGACAAATGTGGAATTTCCAGTTGGCAGAGAAAGGATAAGTCAGTGCCTGGCTTGGCTGCATTTGGAAGAAAATAAAGTTAACCCCACCACTATACATAGCAAAACAATTCCGCATGGATTAGTCATGCAGATACGTGAAAACGCAACATGATTGCAAGTATGAAGGGAAAACACAGGAGCACATTTCTACCATCTGAGAGGGAGGTGAGACTGGTAAGCATGTGGAGGAGAGAGAAAGAAACACCAAAAGTTCCTGTGTCAGTTAAATGGCAGCCAGACTGGCCGAGGGGGAGCAGCCACTCCACAGCGGGTGCTAACAAAGGAGGGCCTTTCAGACACTGGCTCTGCTGTCCACCCTCTGGAGGTCCTATCGTCCACCCGTGTCACAGCAGAGGAAACCGAGGCTCAGGGAGGGGAAGCAGCGAGGGGTGCGCCC